ACATAATGGCTATCAATTTTCTTCTATGACTACCTTGTTTTATATAAATAAATGATCAACCCTTACCTTAGTCGATTTAGCATTATCCGTCTGTCTGTATATACACAAGCTYGTCTTCAGTTTCTTAGGCCTGAAATTTTGCACACATCTTTTCTTCCCCACAAATAGTTGACCATTAACGGCAGCGTCCATATAAGCTTATCGATGAGAATCAAGTTCTTGTACGGATTTTTTTTTTTATTTTATGTTTTTATTTTCTTACAGTTCCGCCAATGGTTTGGATACAAAATCAGTTAGTGGGTGCTGCCACCCGTCAAAACGTAGCACTTGAGTGTCAGTCAAAGGCGTATCCGAAGTCAGTCAATTACTGGACGAAGAACGATACGATCATTGTGCCGGGTAAGTTAAAGGAAAACAATTATCTAAATATTTTTTAAATACTTAAATATCATCGCATTTCAACTAACTTAAATTAAGTTACCTAAGTACTGTTTTTTAAGCTAAGTGCTCTGTAAAAACATTTTGGCAAATAGTAGTTTAGTATAGAAGCAGAAAGTGCAACGAACGTTTAATTAACTTCTTGTCAGCCATTTTTTCACCGCATGTTGAACATATGTGTGTTCAACAACACACACATATGTACATATATAGATATATTCCAACAGACAATAATTGCTGCTAAAATGAGTAAATACTTGGACAAACAAGCAGTGAATCTTTATGAAGATGGATGAAGAGTCACCAAAAAATAACACAGAGATAGTATGGATGAGAAATGTACGTGTGCTATAATTGCTTCGAGAGTTAACAAACACAGAAGGAGAAAGTGGTATGGACACAGTCCATCCGCTCTGAACGCCTGCACATTGCATTTCCATCGAGTTGTTTACGTAAATAAAAGTGTTGTGTCTGTAAATGTATATAAATACATAGCTACATATATGTGCAAAAGAGAGGACAAATACATCAAATGACAAAACCGCGGGTGGTTGAATGAGTAATACTTTTGAGGATTGAGTTAACTTCTCGTATACCCCAAGTGACAGGCAAATGACATAAAGGACTGAAGGAGATAAAATAAATTCTTAATATTTTAAAGAAAAACATATATTTTAAAAGAACATTCGGCTTTGCATATAGTAGCAATCGGGTATCCCATGAAATATATACTGCTATCCACCAACGTGCTGATAAAAATAATACCACAAACGAATTACCTTTGGATTTAAAATAGGCCTCAATGTAGACGATTTATTACCAGCGGCTATACTAATGAGTTCTCAGGATAACACAAAATTAGTAGTGGCTAGACATTTAAAAAATAATATTACTTAAGCATTATTTGTCGTTTATGTCAAGCTCTTCGACGAATAATAATACACCATGTCACACTGCATTGATTTTTGTCCACTTTTTTGCAAAAGTTCGGGTCGTATTGTGCCGCTTCCGCCGTATTGGCCTGATGTGCGACTTCTGCAGATTCAGATCCAAAAGGCAATGAGGGGCGCCATTTTGACATGATTTAAGAGATAAAATCCGAACAGAAGAAGATATTAAAGAACATTCCGAATGTTTCGAATATTAGAAAAAGCAATGGCGAATGTGCCGGATCAGGATTGGAATGAAACTGATTCGGAAAAATAAATAGAGAATTTTAAATTAAAAAGAAAAATTCACCTTACTTTTTATCATAGTAGCATTTACACAAGGTTTGTCTGGAAAGTAATAGAACTGATTTTTTTCTCCCGCTATTGGTCATTTGTCTCCGAGCACCCAGAAGTTCAGGACAAACATTTTTGTGTGACGTGTTTATGTGAGTGGTGCAAGCCGAAAATGCAGCGTTCGCTAAAACAAAGGTACGCGATTAAATTCTGTGTTAAACTCGGTAAATCTTTGACAGAGACGTTTGATATAGTCAAGCAAGCTTACCTCGATGTTGTTTTGGCAAGAAGTGGTTTGTTTCGGTGGCACCAGGCCTTTTTGTGGGGCCGGCGAGAGGTCGCTGATAAAGACCTTGCTGGAAGACTTGCGACTTCAACAAACACCGACAATGTGACTTATGTGCGCAAAGTTTTGAACTAAGACCGTCGACTAAGTATTCATTTAATTGCCCAGGTGTTAAATTTATCAAAATCTGTCGTTCGTGACATTGTGACAAAGCACTTAAACGTGTATGTGCAAGGTGTGCGTGAAGATGGTCCCAAAAGTGCTCACGGACGACCAGATATTGCGGCGAGTGGAAATATGCCAAGAAAATTTTAACATTTGTGAAAGTGACCACCAAATTTTTTTTAAATCGACTCAGTCCTATTACTTTCCGGACAAACCCTGTATATGAACAGGAATTAAATATACTGCAATTTGCAAAGAGTGGGAGTAAGTATATTCTTAAATCTACATATAAATATATATACACATCACGTTAATATTCGTACATACTAATGCAAATAAAGCCTGTCAGGAGAATGTCAATTTCCTCGTTTACTTTGCTATTTATGTTAGGGAGATCCAAAAACTAAACTATCGAATTTAGATAGCAAAACGTAGTACTGTGGCCAAATAACAGTACCACCCCTTTATTTAGAATTCATTTGTCGAGATTTTTTTTTTCTTTTTGGCTAGCTTGATTGTCAGTGATATCTGTGCCAAATGTGGCACAAATAATAATTAGTCTTTAGTAGACTTGAAGTACATTCGTGCATTCGGCGATTTTTACGTTAAGTATTTATTATTCAACAAAGAAGTCTAATTAAATTTTATGTTCGGAATCAAATTTCTAGTTCCGAAATGTTGAACATGATGGAAAATAATTTTGGTGGTAAGTAATTGTCGCAAGTAAGGATTTTTGATTGGTTAATATTATTCAAAGGCTGAGAACGCGTTGACAATGAACCACGACCATGACGGCTATCAACATCAATTGTGTTTGATAATCAATGACTAACATTTAATGATCTTACCGGCATCGTTGGATTATCGGAGGGATCAGTGAAAATCKTTTTGAAAGATCATTTGGGCCCAAGTTCCAAAATCACTCAATTTTTTCGAAAAAGAGTCGCAATATCCACATCTAAGCTGATCAAAAACAATGTTATTTTGACAATTTTCCAAACGGAATTATTTTGAAAAATTTCAAAGTTATGAACAAAGTCTTACTATTTTTTGCTAATAATAGTTTGCATATAAAGCATTCAAAGTTTCCTATGTTAATAGTAGCAAGTAGTGTAATTAAACTCATAAAGTCGATAAGAATTAAAGAACGTAATGGATTTTTGTGGTTGAGCAACAAAGCTGCACGCAAATAAATTAAAATTTCAARACGAATTAAGTTCAGACAGTACGAAAGCATTTTTATACCCTGAACAGTTTGTATTAAGTTTGCCACTAAGCATATAGCTGCCATATAAACTGAACGATCGGAATCAAGTTTTTGTATGGAAAACATTTGACAATTTATCTTCACGAATTTTGGTATGAGTTATTGCTCATAGAAATAATGTAATATCGGAAGAAATTGTTCAGATCGGCTCACTATAGCATATAGCTACCATACAAACCGAACTATCGGAATCAAGGGAAAACTTTTGACGTGGTATCTTCA